TGATAGCTTTGCGATGTATGCGAAGTTCGCCGAACAACATCACGATTTTGAGGCGAAGGAGGAGGAAAAGGGCCATCATTGCAGCCGAAATATCCTCGAAAACAGATTTGTTTCTGTAGGAACCTTTAATTTTATCCTGAACGGATTCTTCTCCCCACAGGGTGAGAAGGTAGGCTATTTCAGGCGCCGACCACTGCCCTAACACTTTCCTCCTCCATGTTTCGTGTGTTTCTTGAATGTTACGCTTCCACACGTACTTCCCACGTACTTTTCACGTACGCTTCACGTACGCAGTTTAATGACGTACAGAACGCAATGCCTCAGAAAATCCGATCTGCCTGTTTACATTACAGTCGCATTGGCCCATATCTGATTTATATCTGATTTATTTCCACATATGAATGAGGCCTGAAACCGATCTCGAAATATCCGAATGCATGCGTTTTTTTCCCCATTTACACTGTCACAGAACAGATCCGATCTGTGTCACATATGAGCAAAAAATCGGAATTAGGTCGCATTTAACAGACAGTGTAAACGGGGCCTAAATCTCATACGTATCCGATTCGTGGCCATGCGACCTGAATGTGATGCTCAGATCGGAATTCATGTGGCTTTTTGCTTATACGCATGCGCTGACATCATCAGCCTGCACCGGCAGCTCGGGAAGGTAAAGATGGAGGAGAGCTGCTTAAACAGTCAGTGGAAGGATGGAGAAGGTGGGGATTTAATTGATATTTGGGGAAATGAATCTGTTCAAGCTAAACTGGAATGAACCTATCGTAATAAAGTAGTATTTGTAAAAATTGCCAAAGAAATGGCGCAGCGCGGACACTAACGTGGCTACAATGGCAAAGAAAAATAAAGAACCTGAAGTCAAAGTTTAAGGAGACAAAACACTTGAATCAGCGCAGCGGTCATGGCCGCACAACGTGCCAATTTTACGACCAGCTTTTTACCCATATAAAAACGTATTAATGTGCGCATGCGTGACGTTTTGAAGGACCGATGCGTTCACATTACAGTCAGATACAGGTCACTTGTAGTTATGAATGTAAACCGTCAAGATAGACAAATCCGATCTAAGAAAAAAATCGGAATTGAACGATGTGGCTGGCAGTGTGAACGTAGCCATTGTTTGGATACATTTATTTTCTTACTTTACAAATTTGATAAATGTGCTTAGATGTGTTTAGTACAGTATATGCTCTCCTTGTTTTATCCGGTTCATGTTTAAATGCTAAAAAAAAGAAAAACATATTTAGGTGTAATTTTTTTGGGGCCAGGAAACAATTAATTGGTTTTCCATTATTTCTTATGGGGAAAATTCTATCATAACTCGAACTTTTTAGGATTCGATCCGGAGTTCTCAATGGATTAAATTCGAGTTCTGAGGTACCACTGTATCTCTGTAAGTCAGGGGTGGGAGTCATCCCTGGGGGGGGGGGGCAAAGTCAGGTGATGAGCACATTGATTCACTTCACATGGAGGTAGTGGTATGTGATGATTTCTGCAGACTTTGTCAATCCAGCATATATCCTGCAGGTGGAATGAATTTGAACATTTCTGTGAACTGCTGCCACATAGTGGACACAGAAAACACTGCAATCATTTCTAAAATTATGCAGCACCCAGATCACTCTGTGCTGTCTAGCTGGACCAGCATTCAGCGTCCAGGCAGCCTATTCGCTGGGGGGCGGAACCTGATCTGGGCTGACTTCCTTCTCTTAGGAACCCCTCCCTGGTGGATTTCCTCTTACTATACACACCTCCATCTGTGAATTAGATTTTTTTTCCAGATTAACTTCCTGGTCTAAACATTGTGCGTAATCTAATGCTGTCATACTGCTGTTAGCATGTAATTCACTGACACAAAGTTGGAGGCATAAATCCATGTCATCACAGTTTAGGAATTTATACGCACAGCAGCTCATTTGTGATTATTTGGAGTATTTGATCTGTCAGCAGGGATAATCCATCCATCCACCCATCCATCCAAAATTTGCTGAAATGTGTCAGTTATCTGTCTCTTCAACTTAACTACACTAATTGGTGAAGTGAGAGAGGGAGAGACCCTGTCCCAGAGTAAGTGATCCTCACCCAGAGGCCCATCAGTGAAGAAAAGGATGAAGAGGAGCATCAGAGGAACCTCATGTGTGTCTCACTGACCTCAGATCTGTGAGGACTGACACTCACACCTTGGTTCTCCATAACTTTGCTTCATCTCTATGCTCACATACAGCAGTCACAGTAAAGAGGGAAGGGTCACTTTATACATCACACAGGAAGTGATGCAACCACTGTGATGTTTCATACATAAAGGGGGCCCTTGTTCTCAAATATATTTTGGCTTTCGAAGTTCATCAGTCATAAAAAGTCACATATCATGGATTTAATATTGACACTGAGTGTGTTGAAATTCTATTTAAATACTGCGTGTTATAGTCAGATGGTGGATCTATCTGATATTAATCCATTCCTTACTGCAGGGGTGGCCAATCTTATCCGCAAAGGGCCGTTGTGTATGCAGGTTTTCGCTGCATCTCCCTAATTAGGTCACTAATTAGAAGACTGATTGGCTGAAGAGTCCTCACACCTGGATTTGAACAGCTGACCTACAGGTTATCCCAAAAACCTGCATACACACCGGCCCTTTGTGGATAAGATTGCTCACCCCTGTCTTACTGGAATACCTGGGTGTCTCCTCTGCAGCTCTTTCCTGAAGCATCAGATCCCTTTATTAGAGAATCTCCTATGTGTTGCTGCCCTCTAGTGGATAAACAAAATTCTGCTACATATATCAAAATTCACACCTATGGGCAGTTTAGTAGCTCCTGTTCACTTCAGTATGTTTTTGGACTGTAGAGGGTTAGAGATGTTAGGCAATGGTGCTAAATTGTTTTAAACGTCCGTTAATGTGCGTTACCATTCGATTCTTCCTCATTTTTTTGGAGCAAAGACATTTGTAACAATATAGAGTTTTGGGAACCATGATTGTCCAAAGTAATTTATTTGGTAAAGTAGCTCATTTAAATCTCACAGCCCACTGTAATGTTTTCTATTCTATTATATTGCACTGTGAGTTTTTTTTTGTGTTACATCACAGTCTGAGAGGGTCACTGATTGTTGGGATTTGACAGGGAGGAGTGACCTGCAAACCACATACAATTTACTTGAAGCATGAGAAATCTTTCAATTTTAATAAAAACTTCAGAACAATACAAAATGTAAAGTTAATCATCAAATTACCATTGCTTAATTAATAAGCAATGAGATTTGATACAATTTTACCTTCACTAATTAATAAACCAATATTAAAGCGTGACCAGCAGGTGGCAGTATAGCGCTTGTGAAGAAGAGGCCATCAGCGGTACAAAGCACTGGCTGTACAGGTTCCCAGCAGACAATCCGACACTGCAGATCAACCTCTCTGTGTTTGACTCTCATGGTGTGACTGTACAGACTGAGCAGGGCTGTGTGAGAGAGGCCTCACTGTAGTTAGCATAACCATTTATTTTATAGCTCTTCTGATGCATTCTGCTCCACAAAGGTCACACCCCCCAGCTTCCTCTGACCCTGAGAGATTCATGCACAAATAAATGGCTTCAGCATAAACTGAAACACTCCTGATATATATAAAGGCATTTCAAACAAACCAGCATTGCCTCATTGTTACACTATAGACTTTATTTACTCTGTCATCCCTGATCAGGACAGGCCTCCCATCCAAACTCCCAGATCTCTCTGATGCACAGGAGCCCCCAATCTTACACTACATCCTCTGACCATAATTGTTTCTATAGTGACACTGAAGACTGGCACTGTCTCCTTCCACACCCGTCACCTCCTGTTTGTCCACTGACAGCCCTGGGGAACCTGAACACACAGATTAGGAACAAACATTGTGATTTTTACACAGTTCAAAATAAAATACACTATGCATAAAATATGAGCCAGTTACATGCTTATATTAATGTTACCATACTTTTTATAAACATCTAAAACTAAACAGGACAGAGAGCTGGGGGCCGGATATGGAAACCACAAGCCTGGATGTGTGAGGCCCCCACGCTGCCCCCAGTCTCTACCAGCTAGAGGTTAACTAGCTCCCCAAACCTGCTGCAGGGTGAAAGACAACCAGGTCTAGTCTCAACCCCTAATGCTGATCCTGACCCCTGATAAACAGAGACCTGCCCCAGTAGCACATGAAGCTGGGTGTTTTGACCCCTCTGTCTGTCACACAGAAATGACTGATGGCATCCCGGCTGTCTGCTCACAGAACCACCTGTGCTGCTGAAATGACCCCAGTAAGATCAATCACAGGCCTCACAGAAAACCAAAGGATACAAGAGACAGGGACAGTTTATCTGCATTTTATCTGAGTCTTTCTACTGCTTAAACACTAAATGTGAGAGATGACAGTATTGTTGAGCCAGAGGCAGCTGTATGTCCCAGAATGCCTCATGAGTGTGTGTATATAGCCCCTGTTTGTATTTGTTAGTGTAAATACTTGTTGTGCTGTGTATCCAGTTGTCGAGTTTGCCTTTAACAGTGGTTGTACTCGGGTCTTGCCTGATCCTTGTGTGTCTTAGCCATTGTGTAATTACCCGCCGTGTGTGTGACTTACTGTCCTTAGAATAACTTCCCCGTCTTTCCCTGCCATTCATGGTCTCGCTGTGTTGTTGCGTGTGTGTGGTCCTTTTAATGATTGTAAATAAAAAGCAGTTTCATGTGAATCCGTGTTAATTCACTGCCACAATGTCTTGGTCTGCGCAGTGCCACAGTATATTTAGCTATTAGTCTTATAGTATCAATAACCTGATTCATGGTACATCTGTAAGAATGTGAAAAGTATTTTCAACATCCAAGACAAAGATGTTTTTACTTAAGACCACCATCATTTTACAGTTGACATCATGACCTCCAAACTGTATCTGACAGTGTGTGGAGGAGCAGGAGAGAGATCTCTACTCAGTTCCACTGTAATGAGTGACACTCACCTGTGAGCCCAGCAATGAGAAGAAACAGGAGCATCAGAGGATCCATACGTGTGTGTGTCACTGATCCCAGATCTGTGGAAACTGTCACTCACTTCCCCATGTGCTAATATGCAGAAGCTGAAGCGAGAGGGAAGTAACAAAACAGGGGGGACCTGAAGCCTGTCCCCAGGCCGTCACAGGGCAGAGAGACGGGGTGAACCACGGACAGCGTGCCAGGCCGTCACTGGGCAGAGGGACGGGGCGAACCGCGGACAGTGTGCCAGGCCGTCACAGGGCAGAGGGACTGGGCGAACCGCGGACAGCGTGCCAGGCTGTCACTGGGCAGAGAGACGGGGCGAACCACGGACAGCGTGCCAGGCCGTCACAGGGCACACACACACACACATAATCAAACACTGATGGAAATTTAGAGAGTAACCTAACTATTTGGACTGTATGAGCATAATCATGTAACGCAGGCAGACCGTGTAAACTCCACACATACACTGTGCAGATAAACAAAGGAGAAATATTTTGGTAAAATCTTAGATGGAAAAGTATCTCTGCCTTGTGCCATTTGATTTTCTGCAAACCGTCTAAGCTCTCCACAATCCTGTCCTGGACAGATACTTTGATAGATGGATTGATGCATCAATTGCTAGCGATCAGTATAATTCATATGTATATTAAGTAAAACCTTTGGCCCCAGGCTATGGTGAAAGCCAGTTATGGTGTTTTTTCGCACTTGATTTTAGTAAAAGGGTCACCCATGTATTTCGGTTTCTTGACACATGGCTTCACAGTCTATTTCAAGCAGACCCTCAGATCAAGAAATGAAATTGATGAGGAATTGATTTAATCATATGCAGACATCTGAATAAACAGGAAAGGCCTGGAAAATTAGCCAGGATAAATATGCAAATACAGGGCAGGGCATCACTTTGTCCGAGAGAGTGCCTGTTACCACATCCACAACAGGTAAAACACCAACTTCTGAAATTATCACGGAAAAGCAGTAAACAAATACAGGAAATTTCACCAGTATTTATATGTGTTTACATGACCTTAGTGACCATAAACTTAGCATTGTAGTCATTTCATACATGGTTTAAATAAATAACAGCAAAACTTTAATGACAGTAATGTAAACACAGAAACTTACAATTTATAACTCCAATACGTAAGTAATAGTTATTCAAGCTGTATGGCACCCTGGGTAACCCCCCCTTCATGGGTAACCCCCCCTTCAGCACCCTACCACCCCTCCCAACAAAAATTGTGTGTGCAATCTGCAGCATCAACTGACATTTTTATTAGGACATTTAGAACTATGCAAATAAACAATTATACATTTAAAACTATATAAACATAAAAATATATACAAAATAAGATTTGTGAATAAAAAACAAGTAACAGACAAATAGAAATAAATTGTAGTATAAAAATGAAAAAAAGGAGAATCAAATTATTACACTATTACTCTATTGGCTAAGAAACAGTTACAAACCTTTATATTTTGCATGTTTTTTTCTCCTCTTCTTTCCTCCTTTTTCTAAATTGAGCACCATTCTGAAATTATCAATGCACCCCCCCCCCCAACACTGTCAGCCAAGAGTCAGAACTAAGCAAATTCACCTTGGTGGCGTATTATTCTTAACGATTTGGGACAAACCAGAAAAACATACAAAGAAATGTTTGTGAAATTGTATATTAAGAGTGGAGCCGAACCGGAATACGGTATTCGGAAAGGCACAAATAACGTGTTTTT